AAAAAAAAAAAAAAAAAAAAAAGAAATTGGATTTCCGATTTTTGGATTAGGGATGCTCAACCTGTACTACAAAATCAGACTCTCTAAGCCATTAGCAACTACAAGCAGACCAGAAAAATAAGGATATTTTTAGAAAGAAAACCTAAGTATAAAATATGCAGACACATTTTTTAAAAATAGCAAACATAACCTAATGTCCTAAATCAGTCATGTTAGATATATAATTTAACACTTCACTTACTTGAAGATGACTAGCAATTAGTGTCCAATCATCTGTTCCATGTTGTTCCACCAATTTCTTCAACTTATCATCCTATTAAAACAGATTAAAAAATTAGAAAGCTTTCCCCCATCCTTTTCCTAAGCCTTTGAACACAGGCAACTCTCCATTCTGTCAAGTCATAGCTGGTGACCATTTGTAGGACTAAAGCCACTATCATAAAAGTTCCTCCATACTATTTCTGTCAGCCCCAATATCAGTCATACTGTTATTCATGTCTCTGACAGAAGAAAAAGAATGTGCAAGTTATGGACAACTTTTCCATTTGTTTTTAAATATCTTCCATAACTACAATAGTATTAATTTATTATACATATAAGTACAAAATTAAGAAATCTTGCCAGATAACTACCTCATCTCTCGTCCATTTTACTCTGTTCCAGAGTTTTTTCAATCCTTTTTGTTGTGGTACTTCATAATCATGATCAGCATACTGAAGGTCATCATCCTCATCCTCACTATTAATAAAAAAACCACACAATTTTTAAAATAAGGAATTTTATTTAAATTAGTGAATTCAATCATTGAACCTGTATATGAAGGTATGAATGAAGAAGCCACTCAGACTAAATAATATACACCCAATGAGATTATTTAAAGTATAAAAAGTTAAGTCATACAATGGGGAAGACCTACAATTCTTACTGACACCAAATAGATAAGGCTGTATATATCACCAAGAGCCAAATCATAACTTTATATGTCATTCTAAGAAAATGGCCTTTATTCTTTATTTGATCTTTATTCTCTAAATGGCTTTAATGGGGAAGAAAAAACAAATATCTTGTGTTTTAGAAAAAAAATTAATGACACAACTGTGGTGAAATAGAAGGAACACCAATCAGTAATATTCATAATAACCCAAGCAAGAAATTATTACATCTGACAAATGGGAATGGTAAAATACAAACCAAAGCCAGTTCAAAGACACAATGGAAGAAGTGATCCATTATTAATATCAATGACAAAAGGACTAAACATCTAGAAATAATCTTAATGTATAAAATCAATGTATGATAAAGGGTAAACACTCTGATGAAACAGAAAATGGAACAAATGAAAAATATCTAGACCACGTACTTGGATAACAGAATTAGAGATTGTCCATTCTCCCTGAATTAATTTATAAATTTAAAATAAATGAAAATATCAGTAGACTTTGGTGAGGCATTAAACAAACTAATTCTATTATTATTTTTAATATATATATATATATATATTAGTTGTCAATGGGCCTTTATTTTATTTATTTATATGTCATACTGAGGATCAAATCTAATGCCTCACACATGCTAGGCAAGTGTTCTACCGCCAAGCTACAACCCCAGCCCCTGATTCTATTATACAGAAAGGAAAGGTCTAAAAATTAATATTAAGAGAATTAGCATTACCTAATATGTAAAAATATACTGTAGAGAAACAATAAGTATAAAAAAAATGGTACTGGCCCATGAATAGAGATACACATAAATGTAACAGAGGAGAACATTCAAAAAAGAAAATCCATATAAAATTCAGTAAGCTATAACAGCAACATTTCAAATCAATGTGATAAAGACAGACTTTTCAATAAATGGTATCAAAATACTGGGCAGTCATTTTTAAAAACTAGAGTCCTATTTTACAATAAAATTAATTTAGATTAAACAAATACTTACATTTTTAAAATGAAAATCATAAAAGTTACTATTAAAAAGTAGAGAAGAATTCTACTTTATGTTCTTGAGCAAAAGAGAGGTAAATGTGTCAAAAATTCAGAATCCACAAAAGTGACCAATCCAGATACCATAGTAAATGGAAAGAAGTACATGAAACTGACAAATATTTAAAATGTAGAAATAAAAAACTTTTGAAACTTAGGGCTATGAGGGAAATGAAAGGAGGAGGAATCAAATATAACAAAATTTCTCACTTTGAGAATATAACTAGAGCTATTTTCTAAGGAAGGGAACAGAGGTAGGAGAAATACGACTTTGGGAAGAGGAAGAGAAGTAACTACAGTTTAGATTAAGTGTTTTCAAGGTACTTGAGAAATACACAGGGGGATACGTCTAGAAAATAACTACCCAAAAGAAATATAATGCAAGCCACATATGTAATATTCTAGTACCCATATTTTTTAAAAAGAGAAATGGTTGCAATTAATTTTAATAAATATTATCTATCCCAGTATATCAAAAGCATAATCATTTCAACACATCATCAAAATAGAAATTATAAATGAAATATTATATTCTTTTCGCTAACTGAAGTCTTCAAAATCTAGTATTTTGTAGTTATAGTACACTGCAATTCAGTTACAATTGCTCAACAGCCACATGTTGCCAGTACCTATCCTATTGGGTCAAGCAATATTCTGGTGTCTCTTCAGATCATGTAAATTTTTTCATCTTTTACTATTGGGTAGAGCAGATCTAAAAGGCAATGAGCACATGGATCTTCTGTTCAGATACAAGGTCTAGAGTAGAGAAACAGATTGGCAATTGGCAAGATACAAAGAACAGTTGAGGCCATGAGATGTCCCATGGAAAATTAACATAGTGAAGAAGAGTCCAAAGTCAGAATCTGAGTTTTTATGAAGTGGGGGAAAAAAAGGAATTTTAAGGAATAAAGCCAAAAAAGAGAGGGCAAGCTTCTATAATAAACTGAGTTAAAGGAGTATCCAGAGGACTGAATAAAGCTAAGGTTTATTTAAAACTTTAAATACTAGACATTGTAGTAGTCCATGACTCTCTTAAAACTACAACAACCAGAAAAAGGAAATATTATTATCATTGACGTTTCACAGAACATAAAATTTGAGTTAGAAAAGTTAACTTATTAACGACTATCCACTGAATATGGTATGGCTGATCCCTAAGTCCATTACATAACCATTTTTCTATAACAAACTGGAAACATAGGAAAGAGTACCAGGCAGCTGGAAGATACTAAAGACAAACCTCAAGTGCATTTTGAAATCAGAACAAGGCTTTAGTTCTAACTTTTCTGTAACCCAGACCATACTAACCTCTCAAGAATTTAGTAAATTTATTTGCAAAATGCATATAAATCCAGTGTTGCTTTAGGGATAAAATTAAATGAGAAAATATATTGAACACCTCATTCAACACTTGAAACAGAAAAGTGGCCCTATATTATGTTCATAATCTGATTACCTAATATAATTCAAAATTATTTTTGCTTTACTAGATTTAACTCTTTTCCAAAAATTCATTCTGATTTCAAACAACAAAAGTTTGAAGATTTGTCTAACCTTACTGTAATATAGTTAAGAACATGTGAGTGCCTAGTATCTAAATATATTACATTCATTCTTACAAAATTGAAATATAAAGCCCTAGATTTAATGTAAATTGTTTACAGACCTTTGCAGGAACTTTTAATTTCCTCTGACTTTTCAAATTCCAAAGGAACAAAATTTTTTGTTGTTGGTTGTGCATATTAATAATATAGAATGGTGGGAGTTTCATTGTGGTGCAATGGTACAGGCATGTAACATTATTTGACCAATTTTACTCTCCAGTAACTTTCCATAGCCTCCGGCTTCTCCCTGATTCCTTTTCTTTAACATGATAAGGATCAAAATTATTCACATCTGAACAGGGGAAACATTAAGATCCCCTATTTTCTTATTTATGATTTTTTTATCTATTTCTGTATCTCAAAGCACTTTAATTTTCCAGTGCTCTTCCCTGAAGCCAATCTTTCTTTTAACAATAATCTGCCAGTCCTTCTTCCATGTTTGTTTGTTTAACTATGCACAAAACAAAAACTCACGGTTAATTAAAGGAAATACCTGCTACTGGCAGCCATCTTCAACTGTCAGAAATGTCACCTCATTACCCAAGAGCAAACTGCTAATTTGGATGTGCTTCAGGGTCCAATGACTTCATAAATTTCTAAGCTACTAAATCAGATAAAGCTCCATACTATAGTTTACTCAGAGCATCTACTCTTTCTTCTATTAATGTTTCTCACAACCTCCTCAACCAAACAGTAAACTCAAGAGTACAGAGGCCATGTTTATCATGCTCACCTCTGACCACCAAGCTCAGTACCTGCCATTGAAATATTTGTAAGATTAATGAGCAATCCTTCCTATCCTTCCACCTTCCTCAAATGCTATATCATATTCCAAAATTATCTCATTCCCTTCAAACCCAACCAAAACTTCCATCTTTCTCAATACAGGTGTGATTTCAAAGGGGATATGAGAAAGAAAAATTTTTAAAAAAATTAAAATACCTCTAGGAGGAGGTGGAAGGCATTCCCATTTGTTAAAATGGACTTTCAGAATCCAAATTCACCTCCAAGTGGTAGAATTTTAAGAAGCAGAACCTGCTGAAACAAACATTTTTAAAAATTCAGTACAGAAAGAGTTCTTTGAGGGTGTCTCCTACGCTGCCTAATCTTCCCTAGAAATGCCAATAATATTACCACTCTCTTACACCCCAAACAACCCTCAGGCATGCTAGTCACAGGTTCTCCTGTCACTCCCTCCCCTCACATCCAAATAGCTTCCATAACAGAATACTTGAGTGTTTTTTTTTTAAAAAATAGGTTATTTCTAAGTCAAAACAATTTTTAATTTGGGAATTTTCCCATATAGTCTTGAATATTCACAAAAGCATCTATATCACATCTAATCTGTACAAAATCCACCTTAAAGTTCTTATCAAAATGTCATAAGGCTATGTGTTCAAAAATGTTACTTTGGTCAAAAAGACCAGTGATCAAGGAGTAATATTCCTAAAAACTTGTTCATTTTAACTTTAAAATTCAGCCCCATATTTTTTAACCACATACTTTGTGAGAAATTTCTACATTTACATAAGGTTTCATTTATACATTTTACATTCAACATGGTCAAAAGTTTCAGACAATGAGTTATATAGCCCATTCAGTGTCAGGAAGCTGGGTTTTTTGAGTCGGTGACTGTGAGGGAACATTAAATTAGAATTCTTAGAATCACCTCTCTACCACTGGGACTTTCCTAGAGTCTAACTGACCTACTTCTTAGTTTTGGCATCAAGTTATTATTGTGCATATGTGTGGGGGGCGGTGAAGCTGGGATTGAACTCAGGGCCTTGTGCAAGGTAGGCAAGCACTCTACCATTGAACCATACCCATTTCTATACATATTAAATGATTATTGAAAAGAATATAACTTTCAAATAAGAGTGACAGAAGATCCCCAAAATGTGTCATCATTAACAACAATAGGAAGATGCCCAAGAAAGCCTATAATATACCAAGAAAAAAATGGAAATCTCTGCAAATAACCTCACCAACATTCATTTAAAAATGAAAGTCTCATTGCTCAATAATAGTTAGAAATTATCAAAACATATCTGCTCTATTTTTCTATTTGTTATGCCATCTTTTGGCATTTCTGTACTGTAGTAATAGGTTTGGTAATACAATTCAATGAAATTGAGCTGCCTACTATGTAATTAAATAAATGAACCATTTCTAGGCTAATGGGATTAATCAAGACAGCAAAAGAAGGTAAATTATTTCTCCAGTCACAGAGCAAAATATTTCTCCAGTCTAAGACTTGGTTTCCTGAATTATTTTGCCAGTTTCCTTTTTTTAAGTTGAAGAAAATATTTATTCTATAAATGCTTAATATATAACCAACTACTATATTCATATGAAAATAGTTTTGTAAATTATGAATGAACAAAGTGATCAAGGTAATTATGAAACAACAAAAAGTAGCATTAAAAATTCTACAACACATCAAGCCAGGAAAATGATTAAGCATAACTTTACATCTTAGAAATGTAACAAATAGGATATGTAGTCATGTCTTTACCCATGAAATAATACACAAACTATCCTCAGTTGATGATATTAAGATAAAACATTTGGGAGAAGTTTGATTTTAAAGGACAAAAATTATACCACATACATACACACACAAATTTTAAAAAAAAAGTAAAATGAGGTAGCCAAAAGAAGAATTTGAAAATTTTTCAAAATTTATTTTTATTGAAAAAGTAACTAATGGTTTGAAATTAGAGAAATATCAGTAGTTCCATAGAATCTGCTGTAGTAAATTTGCTTCAACTCGATCACTTTTTTTTAAAATTTTTTTTGTAGTTGTAGATGGACAGAATGCCTTTATTTTGTTTATTTTTATGTAGTGCTAAGGATCAAACCCAATGCCTCATGCATGCTAGGCAAACACTTTACCACTGAGCTACAACCCAGCCCCTCAATCACATTTTTAATCACAAACTGCCTCAGGTCTGAAATCTTTATCATAAGCAAAAAATATATCTTTATTATACTTTTTGGTGAAATGGTAACTGAGCATTTACTTTTAAGTCCACTGCATTCAAGGAATAAAATTTTACCAGGTTGATTTTAAAAGTGAAATTAGGCCACCCAGTGGTTAATGTGATGTACTGCATACATGAATATTTATTTCCAAATCTGGACTGTGCAAAGTAACATTATAGTAAGACAAATTTGACCCCACATAAATTTTGACAATTAACAATTAACTAACTAAAATGCTAAAGAATGTTCTGCCTAGCAATCCATAAACAAAATAACATTTCTATTTGATTCTTTTAGAGTATGCACTGCCTTAAATGAGAAAAAAATTATTACAAAAGACTGTCAAAATAGATTATACATTTAAGCAAGGGCCACCTTATAGACCATAAAATCCATATTCACTATATTAAAAGATAAAAATGGAGGGCAAAGTTTATCTGTTTTCCTAAAGCAACATCTCCAGTTAATGCGCACCTGATTAAAAAATCATTTCCCATATTTTGTTAAAATTTTACCCCCACATATTAGCTACAAATAACATAAAAAATTGCTATGCACAACCAATAAAAAATAAAATCTTGCAAAGTAAATGCTGGCTTTCACCTTTTCAGTTTAGTATACTCATTTATCATTTCAAGTATAAATACCATAATATGTTACTAGTGAATAGGCTTTGTAGGTTGGTGTGTTTTTAGACAGGTTCTCACTACATTACCCAAGCTGGCCTTGGAGTCACAATCCTTCTGCTTCAGCCTCCCAAGTAGTTGGGATTACAAAAATGATCTTTTAAATTTAGATACTTTTTATTGGTATATTATAATTATACATAATAGTGGGCTTTGTTATTATATATACATATGTTCATAACATGATTTGGTTAATTTCATTCCCCAGTAGCTCCCTTGCATAATTTTCTTAAAGTTTATTTTTAATGGTAGAACTAGTTTTAAAAAACTAAAATTATTGCAGAAATATTCTTAAAAATTAAGTAAATAATAGATATACCAATTTTAGTGTTGCCTGTAAATTATGTCATTAAAACCCCCAGTGAGATCTAAAACTATTTTAAGTCTCAATACTAAACAAGTCTTTTCCTTTATGTAAATTTCAATAACAGATTCTACAGCTATTACAAAAGATCAAAAGAGCCAACATTCTTCAGCTGTTTCACACTTGAGGTACCATTTGGTTTTCTACTTTTAGGTGTTTTTTTCAGATCACACAGAAAAAGTATATTATAGGATTTATGCCTATACTTATGCAAAAACTTTTACACAACAAAGTATAGTTTTCATTCAAATTCTTAAATGGTTATATACTGGAGATCTGAAAGTACAACTTGAAATAACTGATTTCCTTTCTCTTTCTACTATACATTGAATTCATATATATTAAAAGATTCTTAGCCAAAAGAGTGGACTTTGATGAACAGATTATTTCTTCTTCAAAACATTTCACATTCCATTATCTTCTAAGACACAGAATCATATTTCATATATAAGAAATACAGTTTAGAGCATGAAACTCACTCAACTATAAAGACCCAAGAAATGCACCATTCAGAGATGATAATTTCTCACTGCATCCTCTATCTGTATACTCCCCAGGGGGGTGTAGTTTCATTTCAGCATGCTTAATTATCCCAGACATATAACTATATAAATCATTCTATAATGTTTCAATTAAATTACACAGCTGAGAAGGAATAAAAGCCAACAATACAATCAATAATTAGATCTCAAGCTTACAGTACTATCAATAAAAGAAAATAATTTATACAGACAAGATATCATTAAATAATTTCTCCCTTCTGGTATACTATTATGGAGCATACAGAACTATGAAATGAAGAAAAGACAAAAAACCAACTGGAAGGAGAGGGTTTTGATATTTAAACATGTCTATAACTTTAGCTAAATGCTGATAACAGAATTAGACAAGAAACTGTTTCATATAAGATTAATATCAATGTTAAGTAGATAATGATACACATCATCTACAAATAAATTTCTGTAATTGGCATGTTCACTTTGCATAATAAAGTTATTTTTAAATATTTTTTAGATTCAAAAATTCAAAAGGCTTAAGCCGGTACTTCCACAAACATAATTATAGGAGCTGTCAATTTGTCCATCTCCTGAAGATGGAAAGCTTAATTGAGTTCTTGAATTTCTGGACTAGTAGTTCTAACCTAATGATTTTACCCTCTCCCACCATAAAAAAAAAAAAAAAAAAAGACATTTAGCAATGTCCAGAGGCACTTTTGATTGTCAGGCTGTGAGAAGTGGGGCATTTTGGGTTTCTAATGACCAGAGGACAAGGATGCTGCTGAACATCCCACTACGAAAAATCGTTCGATCCAAAACGTCAATAGTGCCATGGTTGAGAAGCTCTTTATAAAGGGATTAGGGGTGTGTGTGTGTGTACACATTTGTTCCACCTCAAGGGTTTGTCTTATACTGCAGTATAAATAATAAGCTAATAATAACATATTTTGTGCTGATTTCTGCAGAACCGTCTTACAGCAGATGCTTAATATATTAATAAAACAAAGAACTTGTGTAGTTATTGCCAATTTTAACTCAAATCTTCTATAAATGATTCCTGGTACTAAATTTCAGGAAATACAACTCTAGATAAGACTGAGTCTCTGGATATAAATAAATAACAATATTTGGAAATTCTACCAAACATTTTTTCAGGTTTATTTATAATACTAAAAAGGCACTTCAGATTTTTCTGATTTCAAGGATTACTCCAATTCAGGAGTAACTACTTCTTAGTATATAAATAAGACTTAAATGCATACATTCAGTCTAGCACATGTTTCAAACCCCCCCCCAAAAAAGATGTGCCCTACACCTCTGTGCAACACCTAGGTAAAGTAAGAATCAAACATGGACACTCAAAATATTAAGTGTATAAAACACATTGTTTTAAGACCAAGCTCCTGGTAGTAACAGTGTGACATCTCCCAGCAGACGATATTAAGAATATATACATAATGCTCAGAACATGAGAATGGTAATAACAGAAAAGATCAAAAAGACTCTTTCCTCAGCTATTCCTCAGAGGATTTTCCATAACCTTTCAAGGTAGCAAAGTTGGCAGAGGGATGCCCGCCCTGGTTTGTCACGGAATTCCTGTTTTAACTGGCACTGTAATTCAGAAAAGAGAACCCCTTTTTCAAGTCATCCAGGCAGGACACAACCACTTTTACCTGCGTAGAGTATTCCCCAAGAGTGCACAGACTTACCTGGGAAGAAACCTCCCTCCAAGAAGTGAATGTGAGAGATTAGGAATCTAGACGTGCGCTATGGGAACAATCAACTCAAAGGAGCAACCTGAGTATGTGTTACTTTCTCTGCGTCTTAAACACACTAGTCCCCCACTCTCCACACGTCGCGGCTGCGCTTCAGCCAACGGGGATGAATGCGCTGTATGGCAGCGAAAAGGAAAACCTCTGCTCCGACTGGGGAGGGTCTGGTGTGGGGACAACCAGAAAAGAAAGAGAATCGGAACGGAGACTGTGCCGATAGGCCTGGGCGAAAGGGATGTCACCCACCTGCGCGACCTCTTCGCCATCCTTCACGTACCGCATAGGCGCGGGCTGGGCGGGGACGCAGGTCAGCCTCCTCCAGCCTCAGGCGAATGCTCCTTCTCCCCGACCCTCCCGCCTCTTCCCTCGCTCTTTCCCCGAGGCGGCCGAGTGCGGAACGCGGGTCCTCGGCAGGACAGGAC